GTAGGCACATACAACTATAACACTCAAACATAATAAGCATACATACACTAAACAAATTTCAGTTCACTTTTAGTGAGAATGTTATAGAATTTAAAGTTCATTGAAATTTTATATGTAATTTCATTATTGAATGTTGCCAGCAACATTACTATTTCATAGTTAGTAATTATTTGTTTCTCTTCGATACACGTATTTCAAATGTTTTGTAAACAGATACACGCAATCATGTATAATCAAATATATTCATTCAGCTAAACCCGTATATTTTTATTTATTGTTTTCCACTGCCCAGTCAACATATATAAATCAAATAAGTGCATTTCTTATTGAATTGCATAAACTTAAATAATGAAGTAGAATAGATTATAATGAAGTAATCATGTCATTTATAAATTTTTCATTTCATTTTTAAAAATTAATGAATTATTTATTTACAAATTTATACATTTAAATGTCTTTAATTATAATTATTAATTATAACTATAGATAATGTAGCTATTCATAGATAACATTATTTAACTATTTATTTTAATGTTTTATTGTATAAATAAATAATCAATATATATATANAATAATATACAAATATATACATACATGTATATATTTATATACATATTTATATACATAAGTTGTTAAATAATTTAATATTATAATTTTAATATTTTAATATTAATCTTTATAGAAATGAACAATAAATATATAGAATAAAAATTTAAGAATTCTTATAAAAATCATTATAACAATCATAATAAAAATTATTGAAATTTTAAATTTAAGAAGAAAATATACAAGTAATAAAATTTGATTTATTTTTTTTTGTATTTTAAATTAATTTAAGAATACCATTCTAAAAATGAATTTTGTTGTAAATAATATATTAATGAGAGATTCTTTTGGATTTTTCTTAATTTTATATTTAATGTGCTTATAATTAAATCAATTTATTTTAAATTTATGAATTATTTATTCATTAATTGTTGCTTTATAAAAATATTATTAATGAACTCTAATACATTAGAATTTGTACCAAATATTTTCATAAATTAAAATTAATTCCAGATAAATAAATGTATAATTTGTATAAACTTCATTGAAAGTATTATAATATATAATATTAAATATAAATTAAAATAAATATAAAATAAATTTTATTATAATTTATTATTTTAAACATTTTTACACAAATATTTGGTACAAAAATAAATTTTAAAAATAAAATTTTTATATTTTCTTTGCTCATTTTTATTAAAATTATTTTATAATAATATACATTTTATAATAATATACAAAAATTTTT